GCCTGGCTAAAACGAGCGATATGCAACCGCCAGAGACCGTCAAGATCGCTCACTGCTCGATTGCATAATTACGAAGTGCAGCGGAATGGCGGATATCTCTGTTGAGATAGTGCAAGCAATAAATTTGTGTCGAAATTGGAGAAGATGCAGCTACAAGCATTCCAAATAGCGAGTATATACAAGGTGTGAGCTATGGTGTGTGTTTGGCAAAACCGTGCAAGACAGAACGGTGCTGCTGGAGTCCATCTGCAGCCGCATTGCGCAGCGCTTTGCGACCCTTCGAGTACGACGAGGTATTTTAACCACTAGGCAACAAACACAACTCAATAACGAGTTCACTCATTTCCGATCTAGTGTTCTAGATATGATCTTCTCATATCATCCGCGCTGCTTGGCCTCAGCATCGTACAAATGGGCGATTCGCGCTTCTGGTGTCTGGTGGCGCCACGTCACAGGAACGACCATCGAGCGCATGTGATTAGTCCACGAACGTGCAGATGAGGAATGTATGCTGAAACCGACGTGTCGGATCGCAACACCGAAGCCATGGCCCATGACTTTCGCCGTGCAATGCCTCGATCACATAAGTCTAAAATGTATTAGAATACACCTGCATGCCTCCACGAAGTCCCGTTGCCTCCCCTCCCTCCGCCGGCGCCATTAGTCGCCGCGTGCGGCGTCGGTTCTACTGGTATGTGCTCGGCTGGTATCCGGAATTGTTCGGATGCGGGCTCAAACGGCGTCGTTTAAGTCTGACGACAACTTGCACTCTATTCTCGGGTGGTCTGAGTGCACTGCGTGCGACCTCGCGATCTATGACTCGGCGAGTGGGTTCTACCACGGCTGAGCTCACTCCGAACGACCAAGTGCTGGTGCCATCTCCAGGCATATAGGCGCAAGCTACGTACGCGACGATGTTGACTTCTTTGCATCCTTTTGTGCTCATTTGATGGCAACCAAGGACGTTCAATTGAGGATACGACAGAATTATTGCAGCTGCTAATTATCATTGAGGAGGGGCACGGCCGCCATAAAGTCGGGCTTGGTCGTTTGCGGCATCAGATCCAGCGGTATCGCAAAAATCCGCCAGGTCTTGATATCGAGAACAATCAGGCGCGAGTCGCTATAGCGCAGCGTAACGAGTCCGTCGAGCACAGCGGACGCACGGTCCACGTAGTACAGATTCTCGCGCAACCACATGTTGGGTACGAACAAGTACTTGGCCCCGGACGATAGAAAGAGCGACGTCAGCGCGCTCGACGGCTCGTCACGCAGCCAGCGCCGCGCGATCGCAAACGAAACAATTTGAGAGACCAAGACGGCCACGGCCAGCAAGAGCATGCGCTGGAAACTGCCGATGTGGATCGTACCAGCTGTGCACAAGGCATCGGCGTCGACTTGGCTCAGATGACACGTCAACGCTATGGACGAGACGGGGGCGACGGGCGCTGCGAGCGTCAAGACACCGGAAAAGGTCCAGACAACAAAACCGTTGGGCGTGATGTAGTACGCGGTGTACGCGCCCGTCACAATGAGAAAGATGTCGTTGACGATCGTAATCAGCCACGTCACTTCGTTGGCCGCCAATAATGTCTTGTACCACGGATCTTGCACTGTTACCAAGTAACTGGAATACCCCGAGTATCGCAACTGCACCGTGGCAGTCGAGAGCACAAGGATGGCCGTCATACTTCGGAGCAGCAAGAACGGTCGGCCGACCCAGACAATGCCGCCGACGCGGCCAAGCTCGAGCATGTTCCAGCCCTCAAACTGGCCCCGCGTGACAATAATGTACACAAACGCCAGCGACGCGATCGCAATCATGACGCCGGTCACGTAGAGAACACCCGAGCGGAGATACCGGGCAATGTTATCGGGTACCTCCCAGGGCTGCGTGGGCTGCGACAGCGGCGTTTGGAGGTCAGTCACCAACACCAGCGTTTGAGTATCACCTTGAAACGAGATCACTTCCCGATAGCCGAACACCCAGTCGTAGAGGAAGAGCCAACCAAAGAAGCTAAAGTCGCTTTCTGTCGCATCGAGCAGATTGGTCATGCGCAGCTCAAGGGGCGCGGTCAACGACGTGCGAGCGTAGATCATGAGCGAAATGTTCATGGCGCGGACTCGCGTTGCCATGACCGCCATGGCAGAAGCCAAGGGCGGTGGGACCTGCATGTAGTCGCGGATGTACGCGCTCGTTGTTGGCAAGTACACGCGACATTGTGTAGTAAACGACGGGTCGAGCGCGCATACGGCCGTCAAGTTGCTGCTCGTGGACGTGAGATTCGCAAGGAGGCTGCCGAGAACGTATTGCTGACGCGTCGGCTGCAGCTTGGCAGAGACGCCTGTCGCGACCAAGCAAATAGCGTCAAAGGAGAGGAGACTTGTGAGACCCAAATTGGTTTTTTGGCCGGAATTGAACTCGGTACAGAGCGGCGACCCGCCGTACGTGAAGACTCCGGTGGACAACCACGCTTTGGGCGCAGGGCGGGAAAGATCCAGCGGTGTAATGTTGTAGTAGGCAGCTTGAGCGCTGAGGTTCCCAGCGAGCGGAGCCCGCGTGAGCTCCAACAGCGTCGACATGAGCTCCTGCAGGTCGGTTGGCGGCGGTACATAGACCATGTCGATCGAGCCAAAGGGCCCGAGGTACGACGAAACGAGTTGTAGTCCTTGCGACAGTGGGGACGCCA